GCCCTTGTTATTAATGACTATTCATCCATATATAATCGTTATTATTTTGATAAAAATAAAAAATATATAAACATATACCTTCTCTTTCATTCATATTTCTAGCATTATAACAAATCGACAAATGGAAGCACCTCATCGACCAACACCACCTGCACCACCTGTAGAACACAAGTTTGTATATTTATTAGATACTTTTTTATCAGTTATTTATTTTTATAATTCTTATTTTAGAGGAATGAGATGCGGTGCTCCAACTGAACCAAGAGAACTCGATGATCACGATAAAGCTTTATTTGAAGAAGTATATCTCTTCTTTTTTTATGTACTATAAACTCAATTATATTGTTGTTTTATAATGATAGTTTCGTGACATAATCGAACAAAAACTTCGCGAACAATTTGATATTCCGAAAGATTATAAAATCGAATCAACTCAAGTTCAAGCTCAAGCAGTTGCTGGTTCAAATTATTATTTTCATGTATGTATTGAAATAATTACATTCATAGAAATTTCTCTAATATATATATTGGTATGTTGTTTAGGTTCGACTTCCAAATAATAAATTTGCTCACGTAAGAGTTTTCAAACCACTTAAAGGTCATGCACTTGAAGCTAGTGATCGATCAACACGTGTCAATGTTGAAAAAGAGACACATGATGACTAAAGATAATTTTTCTTGAAAATTATCAGCAGTTTATTTCATTTTATTCTCTAATAAATAATTTATTTCACATGATCTAAATTTATATACATATAATAGGATTATCATATACTGATAATTACGTTTCTCAGATAGTTTATCACTTTCAAAGCAATGAACGTATCGGTAATTATGTCAATATCAATCATAATTATTTGAGATTGTGTAAACTAGTAAAAAAATAAGTGAAATACACTGCCATGCTGATTAACATTTAAATTTTATAAAAGTCAGATACAGATCATATAAAATAAACGTTTGATTTAAATGTCATATAAATAACAACATGTTTAGCATATAGATTCGATGCTTTAATTCACAAAATGTATTCTGTCGAACTTTTTTATATGTATTTATTAGCAATGTACAGCAAAGTTACATGCAGTGACTTAAAACAGATTTAAGTCAGACAAGTTTTCAAATCGTCCAATAATCTTCATACTTTTTATTCTCTATGTAAAGCTATCGATTTATGGTTGATGGTCGTAAACTTCATGTTTCTCACAATATACATCTAAAAAAAAGACTAAGATACCTTGTGCAATTGATCATATCTTCTGAACGATATCGAACAAGTCCTGCACCATTTGTGCAAACTAACTCCCATCAGTTTCTTGGTTCGATCTCTAAGATACGAAGCATTTTTAGTCGAGTCTGAAAATAAGTAAACGAATTCAGTTATTGATATGAATATTTATTTAATTCATTCTGCATGGATCATTTGATAAACACAACATCTGGTGCCTCCGATCGTAGCCATAAACAGTGAACGTAAGAGTTGTGCTTTGGAAAAATCTGTTAAAGTAGCTTGAGCAAAGTATCAGTTTATTCTTAAGACAATGACGAGTTATTTATGCTAGGATCTGAATGTTCAAGTACGACAGTCAAGTATTCATCTTTCTCATATACATGAGCATGTAAATTATGTGAGTGACAATATAACTGAGAATTACAGATCGAAATGAAAATGAAATATATTCTATTATATAACTCATCAATTTTCGATCGATGAATTCGAACAAAATTATATCATCATCTATTGTTTCATAACTACTACTTATTATTATTACTATCCTAAACTATATCTATATCAGCAATAACATATCGAATTATGTTTTGAATAAATGTTGAATCATGTATACTGATATAAATATGTATGGAACAAACAGACAAATTTTGAAGAAAAAATCAAATTTAACAGCATACTGTAATAAGCTAATTTATTTATTTTTTTACATGAATTGATTATGAATCCAGGCAACAAACTATTTTGTCTACTGTTAATTAATTCTATTATGCTAGTATTTCTTTTGATCTAATCTATCAATATTATTTACCAACGCTTCATTAAATATATAATCTGATTATTGTATATTCTCTAATGTACAGTAAATAGTAAATTCAATTCTTTCTGAAATAAAATAGATTAAATCCATCAACAGCTGCAATATTGAGATAATAAACTGCATCAATTTATTTAGTAATAGAAATGCTATACAAAAATATCCTTATTATATTTCATACTGATTTTCTCTCCAAACTAAAAGAAATAAACATATATATGCAATTGAAATATTTATTTAACTGTATAAAGTGACATCGTTTGACAAGCTTTTCTAATTGGTAGTTTATATTAATCCAATAGAAAAATATTTTGATGTGGATGTGTGTATTTTATAAATTCATCGTTATTTTATTTTCTTCTACAATGAATTTTTATGACATGTGATTTTATCGTTATTTTTTGATTGTTTTCAGAGTATTTAAAATAATATCAGTTGATATTCTATCAACATGTCGATACGCTCAGAACGTGAAAAATCCAAAATGCAAGAAAAATATCAAATGATATTAGCACAAATGCTCAAGGAAGATGATAATAGATTTTGCGTTGATTGTGATACAAAAAGTAACAATAATTTAAAAATAAACTTTTATAAGATTATTTTTTTTGTCAAGGTCCACGATGGGCTAGTTGGAATCTTGGTATATTTATTTGTATTCGTTGTGCTGGATTCCATCGAAATTTAGGTGTACACATATCAAAAGTTAAATCAGTCAATTTAGATTCATGGACCGCAGAACAAATAGCTGTATAAAATAAAAGAAATTATATTTCGATTTTACTTTGTTATGTTTTTTTTATTATAAATTAGTCAATGCAAGCTATGGGTAATAATCGTGCACGTGCTGTCTATGAAGCTAATTTACCTCCAGGGTTTCGGCGACCTCAAGCTGATTCGTATGTTTTTTTTAAAAAATGATTATAATTTTTTTGTAATTATTTATTAAATTGAATAGTGCTTTGGAATCATTTATTCGTACAAAATATGAACAACGTAAATGGATTGCTAAAGAATGGATTCCACCAGAAATAACGGTGTCTAGTGACGTCAGTGTTGTCTTGTCTTGTTTTTTATTTTTTACTTGTTTATTTAAAAAAAAAAGGTTGATAAGATTTATAATGTTTTTTATTTTATTTAGTTGATTGAATCGGAAACAAATCAACGACGAAATGATACTCCATCAGAATCCGGACAAGTAAAATAGTTCTTTTTTGTTAGATGAATTAATTTTGTTTTTAAACTGATTTTAGGTAGAGAAAAATATTAATACTAACATTCCAAAAATAAAACCATTTGCAGCACCAGTAACGACTAATAATCCAGTACGACAAGGAGGTAGTGATCGCTCAACAACAACTATACAACCATCGATGACTCCTTCACCATCAACAACATCAATATCAACTCCTATACAACCTGTTGTTGCTACAGAAAATCCACCAGATTTATTAGGTTTAGGTAAAATAGCATAATATTCTATTAAATAGTATATTAAAAATTTATCTATCTTTAGATGAACCAACATTACCATCAACATCTTCATCAACTAATATAACTAAATTAACGCAAACTCCTCAACCTATTGTAATAGATCCATTGCTTGCTATATTTACAACACCGACATTGACAAATGTGAATGTAAATAATACAACAACAACAATAGCAAAAAATCCAGATGATGATTTTCAAACTATATTTTCATCTTCGAGTGATATCAGTACTCCGACAAATACAAGTGGTGTTATGAGTAATGATAAAATAATGGCATTATTTAATACACCTCAAGTACCAATGGCAGCTGCTTCAGCAGTTAATATTCGACCACCAACTATGCAATTACCTCAAAGTATATAATTAAATTTCAAAAAAAAAAATATTAAAAGATTCTATGAGTAACAACACTTCCGACAAATCTTTTTAATAGATACTAGTCAGTGAATCATATACTTTACCTTAAGTCAATATTAGTTTTTCCATGAACTCATAAAAAAAGATATATCAATATTTGTTTTCTTTTTATTAATTTAGTGAATGCATCTGGTTTTCCTCATCCACAAGCTCATCAACATGCGCTTCATTCTCATCAAAAATCAGCATCATTTGGAAGTAATCTTTATCAACAAGCGACTAATATCGGACCTCATTCTGGATTTCAACCACAAGTATATTACTAATATATTTTAGTTTTCTTTTTCATACAAACAACTTTCTTTTTCCTTTAATAGCAAGGTTTTCCACTTCCACCAACATCCGGAATAAATATAATGCATCATAATAATTCAAATAATATGAGTACACCTTCTCTTCAAACTCCACCATCAACATTTACAAATGATCAAGTATATATATATTGTCTTTGTTATTTCGTATTTAAGAATTATTTCTTTAGTTAAATAATCAATTTTCTCAGTTTGTTCCATTTGCAAATTCAAAATCGAATACAACAGCAACAGCTTTAATAACCGGTATGCCAACTCGTCCTGTTACAGAATACATGCCAGCATCATCAGATCTTCTTTGGCAATAAACTTATTATTTTACTTCTATTTATGGTTGTTTGTTCCTTTTTCTTTTTAAATGGATATATACTAATCCCAGTGTCTTATGCTTCGTGCGACATATTTTCAATTATTCAAAAACACATTTCTTCATTTGTCGATTATACACACACATACACATACATATATATCCCCCCGATTTTTCTTGATCCATTATAATTCATATTCTTGTTGTATACAAATACTCATTTCTGATTTTATTGAGTGTCTATGGGAATAAAATCTATTATTCTTGAGAGAAAAAAAAATGTTTTCTTTTATGTTTATTTCTACTTGCAATCGTATTTATTTCAATAATATTACAGTTATTACTAACGGTCGGTTTATTCTCGAAAATTAAACAATATATTCTAAATGTAATTCATATTTACAATATACCTGAATGCGAAATTTCATTGATATGAAGGCTTTATAGATTTCGAAAGAACAGGGCCTCTTACATAATGTTACGTATGAAGAGAAATCTATTTTAAAAGAAAGAACTATCAAAATATTCTATGCGATTATCATTAGAAAGTGTTTTTAAGGATAAATACATATCCAAACAAAGTTTTGTTTATATTTGCACCTGGTGTATCGGATAACACTTTATTTTTCGGAAAATAGATATTTTACGTAAAGCAATCTTTGTTCTAAAGAAATATCCTATTTGCAATGTCGATTTATGTTTTCTTGTTTACGATCATATGTATCGTTTTATATTTCCATTCACTAGAAGTGTATAAAATAATATAACTTAACGAATCTGACATTTAAATGATTTAACTTCTACATGCAATATATTATGAACTAAGCAGAAACTTCTTGTAAACACAATTTGATATATATATATATATATTTCTTTGTTATTTACTATATAAATAACTACAGTAGCAGTATTAATGAAAAACATTCAATACAATAATAGAACAATTTCATTTTGTTGAAATATATCAGTTTGTAATATTACATAAATCTGATATGATTTTTTTT